GATGGATGGATGGATGGATGGATGTGCACCGTCCGCAGGGAGCGGGGCTGCGCTGTGACAGCCCTGGTGATACCGGCTCAGAAGCCTGGCTGTGTGCGCCTCTGTCGGGGTTGCTAACCTCAGTGCCTCGCTAAAAGATTGCGGAGCTGTCTCATACAGAGCTATTGTGATCTATAGGGTCTCGCCAGGCATTTAGAATACAAGCTACATGGTATATTCAGGATGAGGGGTTTTCTTTTGGTACTGTTATTAAGTGGAGGTAATCAGAGTGCTTTTTCTGATCTGCAGCTTGTCCTGAAGCTTCTCCCAAGCCAAGTGCCTTTCCCCGGGTTTTGGTTAGGTCATGCCAGTGTTGGGTTTAATTTCTGCAAGTGAATAATTAAGCGGCTAATTTTCTAATTATAAGTGTAATAATTACAATTAATTAGAAATGTTAGGGAAATACTGAAATTGTTATGCATATGGCATGCGTACATTGCACATAAATGTGTAGGATTTTAGCACTGAGCGGCAATTCCAGTTGGTGACTTTGTCAAGTTCTTGGCAGTGAATTTTGGCTTGTAAATGTCACAGGGAGCAATACTTTGGGGGCTTTTCTGTTTATAAATGACTCGCTTGCCTTCTCTGTCAGCAGCCATGCAAGGAGGGGAGTGGTGTGTATCTGCAGCCCTGTTCCTTCAGCGAATGTGGCCCTGGAGCAGATGGAGGCTGAGTGGTGGCGTGGCCAGGGCAGCATGTGCTGCGCTCCTGTCTCTTGGAGATGTTTGCCGATGCTGGGGGTGAAGGGCTGCACTCTAAAATACCATCTGTCCTGTGCTTGCAGGTGGTTCTCCTGGGGATTGACATCCTTTCTGCGCTAGTGTCCCGCTTGCAAGATCGTTTCAAGGCCCAGATTGGCACAGGTGAGGGGGGTGTGTGTGAGGGGGTGTCGCCATCGCCCTGGTAAAGACCCCCCGGCTGCTGTACACAAAGGCTTTGGACTGTGTACACAAGGCCTTTTTTTCTCTCCTGGAGAGCCCTCGGGAGGCTCGTTGCGGTTTCAGGCTCTGCTGAAGGGCAGGGGGGCTGCCCCTCTGTCAGGCAGAGGGGGAGCAGAGGGCTGTGCCCTTGTGACAGTTTTCTTCTGAGAAATTTGGATGTTCCTATTTTTTTTCCTCAGTGCTGCCAAGTTTACTTGATAGGCTGGGAGACTCTAAGGACTCGGTGAGGGAGCAGGACCAGACCTTGCTGCTAAAGATCATGGAACAAGCTGCTAACCCTCAGGTACGCTTGTCAGCCCTTTGTAGTGTGAGTGAGTGACTGGCTGCTTAAAAAGGAGAACTTTTTTCTGTTGGAGGGTTTTTTTCTGTCTGAGTTGGCTTCATCTCCCTGCACCTTGTTATGAGATATTTGCTTCACTTGAGTATGCTGTTGCATGTCAGAGTACACGTGGGAGTGTGAGTGTCAGTGGATTTCCGATGGGTGGATGTCAGAGTAGTTGTTCTGGGTCTTTGGAAGGCGCTTGCTTTCTCTAAGTAAGGGTATTGTTTTAGCTAGCAGAGAGTTACTGTTCTGTCAGCTCAGAACAAAGAATCAAACCTAAAAGTGTCTTTCTACTTCTTGTCTTGTCTACTTGGATGGATGTTAAGCTCCAGAGATGTTATGGTGTATGTCTGCTGGAGGAAAGAATCTGTCTCTTCCCCTGCCTCATTTTTTCCCATCTCAGCTTCTTTTCTGTCTTCCACAGTATGTGTGGGACAGGATGCTAGGAGGATTCAAACACAAGAATTTCCGGACGAGAGAAGGGATTTGCCTCTGCCTTATTGCAACACTCAATGCGTAAGTCAGGACCTCCTGCAAACCTGCATTATGGACACAAGCCTGCTCTGTGATTAACATTGGTGTTCTTTTGTTCTTTATTCCCAGATCTGGAGCTCAGAGTTTGACACTGAGTAAGATAGTGCCACATATATGTAACTTACTTGGAGATCCAAACAGCCAGGTAAGCTTTTGCTGTGAGTCATGTCTAAAGGTTTCACTGATTGCCTTGTTGGTAAGCGAGGCTCTGTGTTCTGACTGGTAAATTAGCTAATTGTGCTGCTGCTGATGAACTCAGAACGATGCTGTTCGTGAGGAGCCCTTGTCTGGTTTTGAAGAGGTACGATTTAAAGTCTGTCTAAACCAGCATATCAGTTACTCCAAGAGTTGAACAGAACAACATGAATCTGCAGGTGAGATGAACAGAGCAGGAAACCTTTGTGGAAGGGGAGCGCCTGTGCCTTACAGCCTGAATGCGGGGGAGGCTGTGGGAATCTGTCCGGGCTCAGTGCAGCACCCTTCTGCCTTCAGACCAGAGCCAGTCTGGGCCAGGAGGGCAAATGGAACCAGTGGGGCAGCCTGATAGGGAAGCAGGGTTCAAACTAATGTAATGTGACACGGGTATTAGCAGTTTTTTAATATTCCCATTGCTCTCCTAGCATGGGTGATGCATACACACGATCCAGGTCTGGAGTGTTTAGCTGGAAGGAAGTGTGGGGTAGCCAACTGGGGAATGGGTTTACGCTGGCTCTGGAGTTGGACATGTTCCTATGGCTGTCGGGCCTCCTCTTGCTTACGAGGAAGACTGAGCGTGAAGCAGCCTTCCCTTGCTGGTTGTGCCTGTGCAGAACAATAGATCTGTCACCCCGATGAGTTTTGAAGGAAGTTTAATGTTCAGTGTCCTTTGTAGTTCTGAGCCACGGCTGAGAAAGCTGTTACTCTTTTGAGGGGACACTGGGTTTAGGACTTTGACTTGTTGCACAGACAGACACCATGGTCCTGTCTTTGAGCTGTTGAATGAATCAGGAAGTTGGTGAGGGGACTGAGGCATGTTGTCCCTCTGCAGTGTCTCTTCTATGTGCCTGGCACAGCTTGTTATCCCTGTCCCCAGCTGCAGTGGGAAATAAGGCTGATCTCCCGCCCCTTATCCTGGGTCTGGTGTCTCATCCCCATAAAGTTCATGCCTGAAGTGATCAGACACAAATTGCTGTCAAAGTGGCTCCTGGTTGCAGACATCGGTCCCGGGCTCCCGTAGGGCTGGTTCTGCTCTGCAAGTGCCTTCTCCAAGCTCTGGGAGAGCCGGGCTGCCTGATGCGTGGTCAATGCTGCCCTCTCTTGGTGAGACATGGTGGAGAAACAGGGATCCAGGTCCAGTGCAGCGTTTATCCCTTTTGTTACGGACAGGGAAGGTGTTTTGTTGCCGCCCCTCTCAAAATGAGTGTCTTTAGGCTTTGTTGTTTCCAACAAATCCAGTTTAAGAGCTTGTGGAACCCAGTGAACATCTGGTCTGAAAACTGTATTTAAACTATGACTATTTTCTCAAAAATAAAATTGAGCATTAAAGCTTTGTTATTGCTGTGGTAGATAAAAACAAGTCTGATAGCAGGAGCTCCCTGCCTTGCCCAAAATGGGGTTTACCCAGTCCTGCAACTACACTGATTAGCTGAACAAACAGAGGCAATCCTTCCTGGTCGTGCTGTGAGGACCTGTGGGGCTGGCTGTGCTGTGTGCCATGGCTGGAGGGGGCATGTGGCAGGGTGGGGGTACGGCAGAGCTTGTCAGCATGCCCTGGCTGCCATGCCCCTGCGGCTGGTGCCCAGGCTCCAGGGCAGGTGGACTCGCTGGAGGCAGAGATGTGGGTGCTGTGACCTCCCCTCCCTGGCTGCTGGAGGCAGAGAGCACGGCTGGGTTAGGGGCTGCAAACCCAGAAACTGGGGACACTGAAGAGTGTCTCCTGAGCTGTGTCCCAGGAGTCCTGCGTGTGGGGCTGATGGGCAGAGAGAAGGGAGGCGAGACCGCTGGGTGAGGGCTGGCATGAGCAACGGCAGCGCTTTGGAAGCTGGCAGTGACCTGCTGAATGGGAAAACTGCGGAGCAGGAGAGTGGGGTGAGATGAGCACGAGTCAGCCGTTGGGGGGTTTTTGGCTAGGAAGCAAGTCAGGTGTGTCTGCTCTTTGACTCCCACCTATGGGCAATTCTAGCTTGTGCCCACAAAATATCCTGTGTCCTGATGCGTGCGGGTACCCAGGTAGCTGTTGGGCCATTTTCTCAGAAGAAGTAGTGCATGGCTCTGTAGCTATTTCTGCAGGCAGAGTAGAGTTCACCTTTTCTGCCTGCAGTGTCTGATGAAGGAAGGGGGCTCAGTACAGAAAGGTGACACTTAAATCAGATTTGTGGCTCTTCTGTTGCATGGAGGGAAGGATGCGCTTGGAAATCTCTTGCGAATCAGTTTGGAAGACATGCAAAATTCATGGTGTCTCAGGTGATTGATTACTCCTCCCTCCCTCCATATTTTGCTATTAACACAAACATAAGTTTGTAAGATGGCATTAAAAATGAGTTTGCTTTATAACGCACTAGTAATGTAAGGTCTATGCGTGTCTCTCTTCTTGCTTTTTTGATCCAGTAAATGTACCTACTGCACACAGTGGGTAGACTTTGGCAAAGGCAGCTGAGCTCCCTGTGTACAAAACCTTTCATATTATGTCTTGACTGTCTTTTCAGTTAAACTAGACCTGCTGATAACTGCTAATACCTGAAATGCAAGGATGGAAGCTCCTTCATGAACTGTGTGGTAATGTGTATAGTGGCAACTGTTGATGCTGAGAAATATGCAAATTTCTTTCTCCAAGGTAGGGCAGGGATTTATTTATTTAAATTATAAAGGTGATTGATTTCTTTCATATCTCACCTTCAGGTTCGAGATGCAGCAATAAACAGCCTTGTGGAAATTTACAGACATGTTGGTGAACGTGTAAGGGCTGATCTTGGTAAAAAAGGACTACCCCAATCTCGGTAAGCTGAGAATGTCCTTATGTCTTCACTACTTTCGGGCTGCTTTTTATTCCCCTCCTTCCTTTAGAAGATTTCCTTTAGAGCTGCATGATTGAACCCTTTCCTGGGATCAGGGTTTGGTGGATTTTTTTCATCCTACAAGCATTTACTCAGGTTTCACTTAACGTAGATCCTGTACCTTTGCCCAAGTATGCCACGGCATCTTTGTAAAACCAATAACATTATTACAGATGTGTAGTTAACGGATTTGAAACTAAATGTGTTTTTCCTGTGTGCTCTACATATGTAGAGAAGACACCTCAGAGTAGCCTGTGTTCATGCAACTTAGAAGGCTGTCATAAGAAAAAAATCCCACAGTCAGTCTCATCATTTCCAAGGCTTTATTAAAAAAAGCCCCGCAACTAAAACCAAAGCCCTGTCCCCCCGCTTCTGCCTCTTCAGGTTGTGGTAAGAAAGCTGCTCTGCCTCTTGCCGCAATCTCCTGCACGCAGAGTGGAGCGTGGTAGCGTGGTTAGCCCTGAGGACGGAGGAGAGGCCGTGTGTCCATGCACAGAGGTCGGAGGGAAGAGGTGGTTTCAGAGTGGGGGTGCATGCAGGGGGAAGCAGTGCTGTTGTCTCTTGCTCTCCAGTGAAAACATCTGCTGCCATGATGTGGCTTAAAGTAATGAACTATCTGGGAAGGAATAATGAGATGTGATAAGGATCTTCTGCTCCACCAGGCCTGTGACATGAATGGGAAAGAAGTGTCAGGGCCAAAGACAATTGTTGTGTGAAGCTGGTTTTTAGGGGCATTTTTTGTGGTATTTCTGGAAATAGTTAAGGTAGACAAACTGCTAATGAACTGGAAATGCATCTACAGATAGACATGTCACATCTTCAGTAATGTAGTATTTCCAGCTGTATCTCTTACACCTCTGTCTTGTCAGTTGTTTCTCAGTTTTTTGTTGTCAGCTGTGGCATGTTGTCATAGTTTTTTTGAGTAACTTCCCTCCACAGTGACATGTTTGACAGTGTTCCCAATGACCTGAGTGAAGCAAAATTTGTCCTATAACCTCTTAAATTAGAAGATTACTGAATGTTAAATTCAGCTGCTCATGGTGTATTTCTTTAACTTTCAAACAGGTTGAATGTGATTTTTACAAAATTTGATGAGGTCCAAAAATCTGGAAACATGATCCAGAGTTCAAGTGGTGAGTAGAAGATTACTTGTATTCTCTTTCCAGTGGTTTTTAGCAGTTTTCAGTTGGTGAGGCATTCAAATGGACACAGAGCAAGCGTTCTGTTAGGGAAAACAAGGATGGATGGTTGTTCAGAAATTTACATATAGCTTTTACAGCAAAATGGTGTTTAGCTAGCCTGCTCTGTCTTCCTAGTAGTATCAGAAGAAGAATGAAGCATAAGGTTCAAGAACAGAAGGTGTTGCTAGAGCTGTCCTTCTTTTCCTCTTGAGTTTCTTTAGGGAAATACATCTTCTGTTCTCAAATCTATGTCCATCTTTGTTTAAATTGTTCATAAGGTAAATTAAATAGTAATTTAAGAGAATAAACCTTTTCTGTTCAGTGCCCTAAATAGCACAGAAAGTGTGCATATTAATATAGTAGTGGTCCATTGGAAGGTCACGTTGTTTGTGTAGTTTGTATGTTTATGACTGATAGTCAAAAACCCTTATCAGAGCCTTAATTCTGTCTTTCTTGTCCGAGACTAGCATTTTGCTTTAAAAACAAGTGTTTATTACTGCTTTTCTTATAGATAAGCTCATGAGCTAGAAAGTATTTTTACTAAGTATCACTCTTTTTAGGAATAGATTTTTGAGAGAATTCTTGGTGAGGGAATCCATCTTTCTGCCAGCAGCCAAGCAGGGCAGACATGAAGAACATGGGTTCAGTGCTGCGGGTTCGTATCACGCTCACACCTTTCGTGAGGCTGAGAGCAGGAGAGGTGATGTCCCCAGTCTCTCCCACCGTACTCTGAAGCTGGGAGAGCAGACAAGTCTCTGCTCTTTAAAGTAGGAAAAAGTACCTTCTTCTAGGCACCATTTTTCTTGCTGTATCTGTTTTAAAATATGGTAAACTTCATCCCTGCAGGAAAGAATAAAAATTACTTACTTTAAAATTATGAAGTTATATTTTGGTTTATTCAGAAATGTGATGTGATTCTCTTGTACGTCTGGGAGTACTGTAGACCCAGTGCAGGTTCCTCTGTGATGGAGTGGGTTAAAATTATGTGTTTACCTAATGTGAGAAAATATTGGCTGTATAAGTAGATGAGGCTTACAGTGGCAAAAAAGTGCAGTTTGGAAACAAATGTCCTTGTACTTTTTTTAAAAGGAGGTGAAGTAAATTTTTAATCCCTTACCAAATATCTTAAGGTTTACAAACTGTAGGTGTGTGTTCTGAAATTCTAACTCAAACTGAAACAGGCTTACTGCTGATCCACCTTCTCTGCTTTCCTCTTGGCTAGCCTAAGGTAGGATTTTTGTTTTGCTATTAGTGGAATAGAATGAGCTTTCAAAAAAAAATTTAATTTGATGCATCATTGTACTATATAGATTGCTGTTGTCTGGAGTTTGAGGAGGTAGACTTGTGCTCTGTGGTGAGATGTGTTGCTACAGGGTCTTTGTAAACAAATGCTGTGGTGGGATGATGATTGCGGATGGGATTTCTGTTGGGTTTCTTTAGGGGCAGGGGAAAAGATTTAGGAGTTTAATGTGCCGCTAGCCAAATTTAAGCTAAGTTTACAGAGGGGTTTTTCTAATCCAAATGAAAGTGGTCTTAGTAGAAAATCAGGTATGTCACAACTTGATTAGAAGAGTATTTAGTATGAAACAGGTAAGATACATGTGAGAATAAACTTCAGTGAAGACCAACCAAGAAACAAGAGTTAATTTATTTGCAATACAAGTGTTAGCTGTGCAATCACTTTAGTATCTACACATCCCAGAACAGTACCAGAGATGACACCTGCTAATCCTTGGCTTTTGAGAGGTGATTCTGGTCTCTAGACTGAACATCCTAGTGCATACTGTGATGTGACTCAAGGGTGCTGGCACCATAGAAAATATCAAAAGAAGCCAGATGGGACAATGAGGACAATCTCTTCTGGGCTGGCTATTCTTAGTGTCATCTCTTTCCAAGAGAGCAAACAATCTGTTTTAAAATTGCCAAGGAAGGATTCCATAGGAACATTTTTTGTTTTTGTAAGTGCAAGTAAAGCATCTGTGTGTATTAGATCTTCTAGTTTTAAGCCTCATTGAGAATTATTTTTAATACCCCTTCCACTGTCATTGTTTTGATGAATTTGAGGATTTAACTTTCTTGCACATGCAGTGACTGAGACCTTACACACCATATGTAGTGTCCTTGACTCCATCGACAGGCTTTTTTTGTGCTTCCAGACACGAGTACTCCTGTTTTCCTCACTCTACTTAACCCGATCTGCTGATGTCTCGCTGTCCTTGCTTGTGCTGTGGCTGGATGCAATCCCTAGAGTGGGTGTGTTACATTTCTCCTCTGTTGAACCTCCTGCTTGGCCACTGAGACCAGAACGTAGCCTGGGGAAAAGGGAGTTGGGCAGAGTAGAGGAGTGTTAAGGGGTCAAAGAGTAAGGTGTGGAAAGGGTAGGGTTGCCCATTGCTCTGCCAGAACCTTTTCATCTTCCCTAACAATAAAAAGTCTGTAGTTGCATGAGTTAATTTTAAAGTAGTTCCCATTTGTGAAGCTAATAATGACACAGTTATTAATATCTTTCTCTGTGTGAGGGGAGGGTTCAGTTTCCCATAGTGCTACAGGCTGGTTTGTTGCTTCTTCCTCTCCCTCCAAGCACAGCATGAATACCGTGTCCATGCTCACTATATCTAAAATGTCAACAGCTCTGTGCAACTTCCAGTTTATCTTTTTGGGGTTGTGTAAGCCAGTGGAGGAGGCTTATCTTCACCCGTGGTCACACGTTTATTATGGCCTAAAGACAAGCTAAGTTTGTCAGTTTTCTTGTGGCCCTGACACCTCATGCAGCTTTTGAACAAAGGTGACACTTTCAGCAGCTGTCAAAATCACCAGAAAAGATGATAAATATCACACATACAAAAGATTAGCTTTTCTCAGGAAATAGCTGTCTCAGTCGTGTTAACCCTTGGAGTCTGACAGAGTGTGGTATTGATTATGAGGATGTCTATCTGTTATCATTAGTACCACTACTATAGATTGTAACGGTGCCAGGTTACAGCAGTGGTAAGCGTGTGAACACACTACCTAATACTGTAACCTTCATGTTGTATCAGCTGGATCAGATGACTTCGGGCAATATGGTGGAATTATACCGTGTCTTAAAAGCTCACGTTAGTCCCCATCTGTAGCTACCATGTACTATTTCTAGCTCTGCGCAGGCTGCATGAGTGTCCCAGAGGTTTTGGGAGGCAGACTGGCAACGGTTTGTGCAGACTGCAGTCTGTAAGCCCTCGTCAGCTTGAAACGGCACTGCGGGAGGAGCAGTGTCAGCTCCCTGGCGCTGGGTTTTCTGCCCTGAGCTGCTCCCCGTGTTGGGTGTGTCTGCACAACAGACCCGGCTGAAAAGTAACATCCTTCACCTGTTGGGGAAGGACTTTCTGCTGTTCAGGGTTAATGCGTGCCTCTGAGATGGGAAGGCTAAGTGAAGCTATATCATGACTTTCCAGCTGATGATCAAAGATCAAATCTAACTTTTTTTAATGTGGTCTTATGGGTCAATACAGTGAATCTGTACTTCTCTGGTGGGTGACCAAGAGCAAGCTGTTGGCTAAAGTGTCACTCGTAACTGAGCTGTGGCCCGGGGTGCTGGAGCTGTACTAATTACAAGGCTTGAATGGTTGTCCAACCTCATTTATTGCAGAACGTAGCGGTACTGGGCAGGTGGGGAAGCAACCGTGGCTTCTGAAATGGTGAAATACGGCAAAAGAACTGGTCAAAACAGAATGATGACTAAAGCTGGTCTCTTAGCTCTGAGACTGCTTGTTTGGGATAAGTTTCCTCTAGCAGGTCACCAAAAATGTAAATAAAAGGAAGCAACTGCTGCAGCTTTTTTTGTGTATCAGGAGTAATTTGCAGATGAGCAAGTATTCTGTAAACTGGTAAAGGTTCCTTAACTAATGCTGCCCAAGACACAACTAGAGAGAAAACTCTTCAGTCTCCTAGAAAAGGTGGTTAAAATAATGGGGCATTTTCTGATCCCATGAATAAATCTAATGAATCAGCGCTAATCAGAATGTGAATTTTAAGTCTATGAAAATAATTCATATGTTTTATATTCACTTATCCTTCTATACCATGGTCCATTAATGCTGCTTTGAGTTTATCTTGAATCGCTTGGGGTTTTTTTTGGCTAGGCTTTGTTTTTATCATTTGGTAATATAAGAATTAAATACCTAGTGGAGTGGGGGAGGTTTGCATAGTAATCTGAGGTGTTTCATTAAGTCAGAGGGAGGTTTTGGCATGCTCAAGTATGCTGCTTGTTGCTAGGCTACCAGCAGCCCTTATAGCTAGAATATGAAGTTAAAATCCATGTTGGATTTCTCGATGATTCTCAATGCATCTCTGTTTTGTTATTTGGCATATAATTAGTCAGCCTCTTGAAGCAAAAATTATAGTTTTTCCCCCTTTGGGCTTTCAGCAAGCTAATTATTTTTTGTGTAACTGTTTTTGCTAATTATGCAGATGCGTTATTCCCCTGGGACAAATACATTTTCAGCATGAAAGAGCCAATGATTGCCAGCTAGTCAGCTGCTGTCTTTGTGTGGCATTGTGTGATGATCTTTAGTTGGATGTGATACAGAGAGAGGCTACTGGACATAAACAGAGCCTCCAAGAAATTCGTGCTGCACTGGTTATCTTGGCATTTTGTTTGGAAGGACCTGAAAATAAAGTGTGCAGTTTTTCCATGGATTTGAATTGACTTTGGCTTAGACCTGGACTCCAGAAGCCTTTATTAATCAAGTTTCAGGACAGATTAAGAATGAAATAAGTGATCTTCTGAGAAATACAGGCTAATAGGAAATGATGACCCAGACCAAAGCTCTTAGTAACCAAAGTTTTTCAGTGTGTTTTTTATGCTCTTGATCATGCCAATATCATAATGTGACATTCTTTGATGTAAAACCTTTTTTTTATTTTAATTTTTTTTTTTTTAATGCAAGTTGCACAGTTTTTGGGAGACACTTCTA